GGGATACTCCAACCCCCTTCCGGCCCCGGCCCTCGGTACTGCTGCCCACCCTTCGCTTCCCGGCCCGGCCCAACCAGGTGCTTCCTTTGGGCCCTGCCCTCAGTGCCCTCTCCCTGGCTCGGGCGGCGGGGACAGGAGTGGGAGGCGTTGTGGAATGGGGACAGGGCTGGGGCTGCCGGGTGCTCCTTTCTCCGGCGCCAACCTTTGTGACCCACATGCAACCAAGTAGAACCATCCTGCCTTTTGTGATCTGACCAGGATCTTAGCCTGGCTCCCTCCCTCCACGCTACCCCTGGAGCTGGGCGTCGGAAATAGGGCGGACCCTCCCGGAATCAAAACCCAAACCGTGGGACTTCGGCCAAGTGGGAAATCACCCCCCGGATGTGAGGGAGGGAGAGGGGAGAAATGGAGAAGGGGAGGAAGGGCTGGGACAAGCAAGAGGGGTCCTGGGTTCAGAACAGATTAGGTCGCCGAAGAGAACGAAGAGCGGTGGCTGCGGGTACCCGAGGGTCTCTGGCGAGGGGAGAGGCACCCTGGAACTCTCCAAGCCTCTGCCCAGCCAGAACTTTCTCCCCCCTCACTCCATGCTTTCTCTCAACTTCACCATAAAAGGGAACGGCACCGAGCCAGGCCAGGGCCGGGGGCTGGGCTGTTGCTCTGGAGCTGTCAGGGGTAATGGAAGCCAGTTGCTTTGCGGTAGAGGGGGGCCAGGGCTCAGGGGAGGCCTCTGCTTCTCGGAGCCAAAGAAAACTCTACAGGAGATGCTATGAGCTTGGGACAGGGGACCAGTTTGCCGCCCGTGTGTACGGAGCTGGGGATACACTCTCCCAAAGTGGCTTCCCTGGTCTGGGACCATCAACAGTTTGTCCCCCAGGGCTTCAGCCCGGTGACTCCTAAACATAATCCCTGCCTTTAGTAGTCTGTAGTTCCCCTGGCCTCCCCCTACCTCACCACCACCTCACCACCAGCCCCCACTCAATATTTCCCAGAAGCTTCATATTTAGAAAGCCGAGTCCCCTCCACATAACACTGGTGAAACCCCAGACAGGTACTCCCTTATGCATCTCTCAGTTAGCAGTCTGTTTCCAGCTCCCCTCTGGGAGAGTAAGGGTCTAGGTCTTAAGGATTACACATCATTATGCTTCATGTCTCCTGGAAATTTGAAGCAGATCCAAGTCCAACCAAACACTTGGGTCTACTGTTGAATCAGAACTAGCCCTCCCTTTTAAAAATAAGCTCTACCTTTAGGCTGGCCCTGGAAGTTAAACTTTCTAGACTGAGAATGACATGAAAGAAAGCCTTGGAAGTGCTTAAAACCAATTGACCCAGGTGCATAGTATTCTAGACTATCAGAGCCGAAAGGGGCCTTCAGAATCATGAAGAAGGAAACTGGCCAGGCATGGTGGCTCATACCTGTAGTCCCAACATTTTGGGAAGCCAAGGTGGGTGGATCACCTGAGGTCAGGAGTTCGAGACCAGCCTGGCCAATATAGTGAAACCCCGTCTCTAGTAAAAATACAAAAATTAGCTGGTAGTGCACGCCTGTAATCCCAGCTACTCAGGAGGCTGAGACAGGAGACTTGCATGAACCCAGGAGGCAGAGGTTGCAGTGAGCCGAGATTGCACCATTGCACTCCAGCACTCTAGCCTGAGCAACAGAGACCGACCCTGTCTCAGGAAAAAAAAAAAAAAAAAAAGGGAAGAAAACTGAGGCCCAGCAGGTAATTGATTTCACCAAGTTTCTACAAACTGGTGAAAGAGCAGTGTCACCTCTTCCTCCTACCTCCACTCCATGTTCCAGGTCAGACTGGACTCAGTAGGTTGTCCTAGGGTTAGGCACAAGAGGGAAAGGATTTATTTTAGGACCACCCAGAAATTCATTCACCTCACAGAACTTCCTGTGCCTAGGTCAGTGAGTCTTTATCAGCCTTGAATGGGTCATTTGGCCCAGTGCCTGGAAGAACTGAAACAAAAAACAGTCTATGAGACTGAACTAGACTTAACTAAGAACAGACATATCTCGAACCAAGCTTGGATAGAAAACTATTTGGGAAGTGAGACAGGCACAGCCTCATCCTGGGGGGATTTGGGAGGATGTGGAGGGAAATGACTGGGGGGCACTTGTGGAGCTCAATCTCTGCGATTAGTGTGACATTTTCAAGGAAAGGACTGGCCAGAATTAGGCTCAGGAGTGAGAAAGCAACAAGACCCGGGAGAAGAGGGACTGGGTTCAGGGAGGTGGGCTACTAAAGTATTAAACCTGGAGGAAGAGCTAAAAGGAAAAGTAAAGTGTATCTCTTTGGAGAAAAGTGGGCTTTTGCTCAAGACTCCCCACAAACTTGAATTCCCATGTGGATTGGCATGACCCAAGGTCCAAATCACCTTTTTTATTTTTATTTTTATTTTTATTTTTTATTTTTGATATGAGTCTCGCTCTGTCACCCAGGCTGGAGTGCAGTGATGCAATCTCAGCTCATTGCAACCTCTGCCTCCCAGGTTCAAGCGATTCTCCTGCCTCAGCCTCCTGGGTAGCTGGGATTACAGGAGTGTGCCACCACGCCCAGGTAATTTTTGTATTTTTGGTAGAAATGGGGTTTCACCATGCTGGCCAGGCTGGTCTCCAGCTCCTGACCTCAAGTGATCCTCCTGCTTCGGCTTCCCAAAGTGCTGGGATTACAGGCGTGAGCCACAGCACCAGGCCCCAAATTGTATTATTCCCCCCATTTTCCCTCTCAATATTCAGTCCTCTGACAGAGAGGCTAGACATAAAATGCTTCTTATTGCTGGTGCCCACGGCTGTCCTGACCCTGGTCATGAACTCATTGCTCAGTCACTGAAGCTGAATGAATGAGTTAATTGCCTCGTAGGGCCAATTGGCACTAGATCCTTGGAAATTACCCAATTTGGAGAGGTTGTAAAATAGATCATGTCCTAGTGCCACCAGGAACTTAGCTTTTTGGGGGGTCAAGAACTCTTACCAATTGCTTTGGAAATTTATGGCTGCCTGCCAATACCACCACCAGAATGTCACTGCTACCATCACCACTACCACTGCACTCTAACTTTAGTCTCCACTGCAGCCTGTTTGCCCACTCAAGCCAGCAAGGGGAAGTGTCCTCCCTGGTGAACTCAGAGCCACTGATACCTTTGTGATTTCACAAACATTCATGACAGCTCCTAGGTCTTGTCTCCTAATTACATAAAAGCAAATGAAATGCAACTACTGCAACTATATTTCAAAGCCAATATTTTTTACCTGATACACTTAAATTATACACAGATTTTTGAACTTCAGAGTGTAGGAGAGGGAATGGGTAACAACTGGGCAGTGACAAGATGGCTGGGGTGACTTTTCAGGTTGCGAGAGGCCTCCTAAGGGCAAGGAGAGGGAGAAGAGCAGAGAAAGAAAACCCAGAGCAGCAGCTGGGGCAATCTGGAGGGGAAGTGGGTTGGCTTCCTGCCAGGGCCAGAGCCAGAGCCTGGAGACCAGGGACAAAGCTGCAGCCTTCCACTGACAACTTCTTTGAAATCGGGATCTCCCGTGAACATTTCCTTCAAATCTCCCTGTGTGCTGATACCCAGGGTTCTAAGGGGCAACTACAAATTTCCGTTTCTGTTTGTTCCAGCATTTTCACCACCACCCCCACTGTTTTGTCCTGAGTCAGTCTCACTCTGGTGCACAGGCTGGAGCGCAGTGGCGCGATCTTGGCTCACTGCAGCCTCCGCCTCCAGGGCTCAAGAGATTCTCGTGCCTCAGCCTCCTAAGTAGCTGGGATTACAGCCACACACCACCACACCGGCTAATTGTTGTATTTTTAGTAGAGACAGGCTTTCACCATGTTGGCCAGGATGGTCTCGAACTCCTGACCTTATGGGATCTGCCCACCTCGGCCTCCCAAAGTGCTGGGATTACAGGCATGAGCCATTGTGCCTGGACTAATTTTTGTATTTTTAGTAGAGATGGGGTTCACCATGTTGACCAGGCTGGTCTCAAACTCCTGACCTCAAGTGATCTTCCCACCTCAGCCACCCAATGTGCTAGGATTACAGGCTTGAGGCACCACACCCAGCCTGACCCTGTCTTTTCACAAACATTTCTCTTAGCCATCAAGGTCACATTCTGGGTCATAGGATGTCGGAGGTAAGATGGTTCAGAGTTGCATTGATGATTTGATGGCATTCATTCTCATGGCTTCCACCTATTACCCTGCATATGTTGGAAGAATCAATGGTCCACCATTGCTAACCATCCTGGACACTGGTTTCCACTAGGATGTGTTACTCTTATCTTAAATTCAGT